AAAAATTCTTTTCGCGCAATTATGCAAAAAGAAGCTGAAAATCAAAAATTAAGAAACTCAAAAATTACATATATTTGCAAAGTCGCGCGCAAAGATCAATTTATATATTCGAAAACAACATAAAATTCTCTAAAACATTCGTCTAATTTCAAGACCTGACGGACCGGTACTCACACTTTTTTTTACTAATAATCTTTAGCGTCCGCATTTCAAAGTAAATTTTTTGGTAAGAAAATAGGAAAGTACCAAATAAATGATAAATACCTTCATCTGAATATTCCCTGACATTTCCGGGAAATTCAAACTTTTTAGTGAGAATTTTGTTATGCAGTTTTGTAGACGATTTAATGAAGTACAAGTTTCAAGCTGTTATAAAATAACGTTAATTTTTGTAATTTTTTTGCTGGCAGTGTCCTCCATATAAAAGACAATTTTAGAATATAGTTTTGTATGGAAAAAACGTGAAACACCTTCAACCGAAAAAAATTCATTTTTGTGAGCTGTCTGCAAACGTTTATTGATGTTGGCTGTTGTCTGTCGCTTCACCTGAACATATGAAAAGAAATTCCAAAGAATCGGCGAAAAAAGGCCGATGCCGATGCCGATTAATCGGGCGGACTGTACTTATGTTCTCTTAGAAATTTTTCCGTAAGTCTTGTTCGCATTTTCCCTGCAAAAATCGTTGGACCATGTACTCTATTTGTGGTAAAATGGAGTAATTACAAAAGTGTTCCTCTGTCATGCTGTAGCGGACCAACTCGTGTCTCTGCGCCAGCTTATTGTTTGTTATCCGATCACTGCTCGTGTTTTAACGAAACGTGATTGAAGTTGAGCATTTGAAAGCACATTTGCATGTCTGGCTGTAGCTGAACGTGTAGAGATGCTCGCTGTTAGTTCTTAGCTCCCAGCATGTTCGGGTTCGAATACCGTCAGAGGCAACATGTAATTTTTAATTTTTGTCTTGGTTTTTATTAATTTCGAAAAAGCATTTGAGAAGTGAAGAACAAAAGCGTGTACAAACGAAAAAATATAACAACAATGCCCATTGTTAATATGTTGGAGTAGTTTTGTGCTACTCTGATGTAATGCAGGGATGGAGTATATGGTCCTGCCCTAGGACATCGCAATGTTAATTGGACCATATTTTTTATATGAATTGTGGTTAATTTTGGAGTACTCTTTGGTCCTTAGGGAGTACTCTTTACACGCATGCATGGAGTAGTCGCGATTTTTGCAGGGTTGTTGTCTTTGTGAGCGTTCCACATATCATATTCCTTCTTGTGAAAGCATTTATCATTTTGGTTTGCGTTTTTAAGAGTTCTTGACAATAAAACTACGAGAACGATATTTTGTTCCGATCATACTTTTTGTAACAGCTGGATTCAAATTTCTCAATGGTAGAACTTGAAAGTTAAAAAATATATGAAAGTTTAAATAAGTTCAACATAAATAGAATGTAAATAATCCATAGTTAATATCATGGTTAATATTTAAAATTTTTTTAAGACGGGGTTCTAATCAAATTTTTGTTTGTATTTTTTTTTTTTAATTCAAAAATTTCACCTTAACCAGGTGATCCAACTGTACACCCACAGCCGGAAACATACTGGGGCCATGTAAATCCTATTGGGCCACGAGCATGCTATGATGAAGGCAAACGCGTCTCGGAGACACTTAGCTACGCTTATGCAAAACAAGTATACGACTACAAACATACTGCAATATCAAGTCATACATTTCTAGCTTATTTACAGGAGAACGTCAAAGTGCGCGTAGCACGTATATTTAATACATACGGCCCCCGGATGCATATGAATGATGGTCGTGTTGTATCCAACTTTATTCTACAAGCACTCCGGAATGAGACTATTACGGTCTATGGTAATGGCAAGCAAACTCGGTCATTTCAATATGTTTCAGATCTGGTCGATGGATTAATTTCCTTAATGGCATCCAACTACAGTCAGCCCGTCAATTTGGGCAATCCGGTAGAGCACACAATCGAAGAGTTTGCGCGGATCATAAAAAAATTGGTGGGGGG